TCGAAAGAAAACATCGTCCGAACATTATGCAAACTTTAACAGTTTTGTACCTATCCAACAGAAGCGTAACTTCGTCCGCTGCGTAACGCAAAGAGAAGAAAAATCTGCTCAACAGTTACTATTGAAATGGAGCTCCAGAAACTCCAGGACCTGCTTCGGGAGAACGGATATCCGGACAGATTCATCATAAAGAATATGATGGAGGAAGAAACAACTCCCACCACACCCACTGTGGAAAAGAAGACCTTAGTCCTCAAAAGCGAATTCCTAAGCAGATGCCGCAACCAAGCCGTAGCACAAACCTTCCCAACAGCGAAAGTTTGGGTGTTATTCTCAACCAACCCGGTCCTGCACGGCGATGGGCTGCCAGCTCAGACCACTTCTATGTGTATCTACGCATTTGCTTGCTCCTGTGGAGCAGGTTATATCGGTCACAAGAGTCGAGGCTTATCCAAAAGAATGCGGGAACACCTCCCGGCATGGCTAGCCAAAGGTGAAATCAAAAACATCAGCAACTCTATCCTTGCCCACATGATTGACTCCGGACATCGTGTGGACCTCAGCGAAGGCTTTAAGGTAATTTACAAGGTCCCACCAGACTACCTAAAGTTCCTGGGTCAAAGTTTGCGAGCAACAGCAGATGCAACCGAGATCTGGTTGAGGAAGCCGGTTTTGTGAGCGCAAAAGAATTCTGTGCAAACTCCACATCTGGCGTGGCCCACAATCACTTAGCGTATGCACTAATCCGCGCTCTGATTGGATCCCACTCTGAAGGAAAGACAATCGATCGACTGTTTAAATTTAAATCTCCCATGTAAATGTATGGCCTGAGGAGAATTTACCGAAAGTGTACACTCACCAAATGCTGTTCTGAACTTCAAAAATGTTATACAGAAAAAGCATAAAAAACATAATTTTCTTGTACCTCTTTGTTAGCAAATTAGGCCTTCTGCGACTTTTATACTTGAAAAAAGAGTACCTTTCAGTTAAATAAAACTTTCTAGATTTTCGAAAAGTTCGAACCCTACTGGCCATTAAACCGCATTCAGGCATTCCGAACTATATGCTGTACACACTATACACATTAGTCTACGTTTTAAGGAATAGGTCGTATAATTCCCATAGAATTATGTTTTGGAAGGGAATTATGTTGTATGCTTTATAGGCAGCATGAATAAATTGGCGGATATTAGGAATGAACATTTCGTGGTCAAATGAAGGAAAAGGTTCGAGTTCCAGGTATCTGCATGTAGAAAGAAGAAGACGAGTCGAGTACCGGATCAATTGATTTATTGTCCCGAGCTTTCGAACTCTTACAGGAGCCCATCGTCAGAGATGAGAAGTAGCAACCAAAAAGAGGGTAATTATAGTGGCCATAGGCCAATCAACTGTCAGAAATCATCAGGTTGTCAAGGGGTTAGAAACAGCTATCAAAAGGATGGGGGAGGAGGGCAAGTAGCTGTCAGTGGATTCGGGGGCAATTACGTTGGAGAAACAGGTCGCAGATTGCAGACCCGCCTTCACGAGCACAAACTGGCAGCTCGACGACTAAACCCAAACTCTCAACTTGCAGCACACGTCGCAGAGACTGGCCATGACTT